TTCAAAAAACAAACAAACAAAACTATCACGATATTGTTGTTAGGCCAACAATGTTGTTTATGTTTTCAGTTTTGCGGTTATTATGGGCGTTTTTCCCCACTACTTCGTCCCCAGTAGATGGATCTTCACCAAATTTGGTAAGGAAGTTCACGGAGAGATATATACAAATCTTACGTTTTGTGGTTTTTAAGGTGATTTTTGCGTTTCTTACCACTACATCGTCCCTGTTGATAGACCTTCACCAAATTTGGTATGAAGGCTCGTATATAAAAATTTTCAGTTTTGCATTTTGCGGTTTTTTATGGGCGTTTTTGGATTTTTTTACCACTGCTTCGCCCCCTTTTGATGGATCTTCATCAGATTTGATATGGAAGTTTATTGGGACCATGGGAAATACATGCAGATTTTCAGTTTTGCGATTTTATGGGCGTTTTTAATAACTACTTCGCCCTCTGTTGATGTATCTTCACCAAATTTGGTATGGAGGTTCATCTGGTACATGGGGAGATACACAAAATCGCAAAACTTAAAATTGTATGGGCGTTTTTGCCTTTTTTATCACTACTTCGCCCCCTGTAGATGGATCTTCACCACATATGGTATGGAGGTTCATTGGGTGCAATGGAAGATAAATACAAATTTTCAGTTTTGCGTGTTGCGGTTCTTATGGTCGTTTTTACAACTACTTCGCACCCTTTAATTGGATCTTCATCAAATTTCATATGGAGGTTCCGTTCATTGGGTGAATTTCAGTTTTGCGATTTTATTGGCGTTTTTGCGTTTATTACAACTACTTCGCCCCCGGTTGATGGATATTCCCCACATTTTGTATGGAGGTTCATTGGGTGCATGTGGAGATACATAATATTTTCACTTGCACAATTTTTTATTTTTGTATTCTTCGGTTTTGCGTTTCATACCACCTTGTTGGCTTCCCTGCATGCATACGTGTACTGCAGTAAAGTTTTTCTTACTTCTTTGTTGGCTTCTCTGCGTACGTATGTGTACTGCAGTGAAAAATGTTTGTTACCACTACGTTTCATAGCACTGCTTCGCCTCCTGTAGATGGATTTTCACCCAATTATGTCTTTATGTTCATTGGCTCGTTGCGCAGAAACATGCAAATTTTCACTTTTTGGTCTTCGTTTTGAGGGTTTTATGGTCGGTTTTGCGTGTCGTAGTACTACTTCGCCCCCTGTAGATGGATCTTCATCAAATTATGTATGTATGTTCATTGGCTCGTTGCGCAGAAACATGCAAATTTTCACTTTTTGGTCTTCGTTTTGAGGGTTTTATGGTCGGTTTTGCGTGTCGTAGTACTACTTCGCCCCCTGTAGATGGATCTTCATCAAATTTTGTATGTATGTTCATTGGCTCGTTGCGCAGATACGTGCAAATTTTCACTTTTGTATTATTCGTTTCTTTTTTGTTTTTATGGTCGGTTTTGCGTTTCTTATCACTACTTTGCCCCATGTAGATGGACCGTCACTAAATTTTGTATGTAGATTCAATGGTTCGTATGCAAAGTTAAATTTTTTTGTACATCGTTTTGCGATTTTTTTTACGGTCAGTTTTGTGTCTCGTAGCACTACTTCACCCCTGCAGATGGATCTTCAGCAATTTTTTTATGTTGGTTCGATGCGCAGAAACATGCAAATTTACAATCTTTTATTCTCAGTTTTATGGTCGGTTTTGCGATTCTTATCACTACTTTGCCCCATGTAGATGGACCGTCACCAAATTTTGTATGTAGGTTCAATGGTTCGTACCACTTTGTTGGCTACCCTGCAGGCATATGTGTATTGCAGTGAAACTTTTTGTTATAATTATGTTGGCTTTCCTACTTGCATACCTGTACTGTAATGAAGTTTGTGTTACTCCTTTCTTACATACAACATATATACGTAATATATATATACTAGCGAAAGTACCCAGCTTCGCTCGGGTTATTAGGTTGATATATTCTAGATGACTAAGTCAGTGTGTGTATCCTGAACCAAATTTAGCATAAAAGTATAACCTATATACTTTTCTTATATAAAAACCATTGTTGGAACACGTTGTTACCAAAATGCACTGGCTTTTCTATATATTAGAAGTT